AGAAATCAGTTCAACAAATTTTGTATACTAGAGTATTATTAAGGAGGTGAATATCTTTTAGTATCTGAGGAGTTTTACATTTATAGTAATAGTTTATTCTTTTACAACTATAATAAACTATTTGTTGTTCTTCTACTTCATCTTAACTACATCTATATTCATATTATTGATTATCCTTTTTAAGAGGTACAAGAGAACAATAGATACTGATATATCCAAACTTATTATATTGATAGTAATAGTTATGAGGGTATTCGGTATATTGATGCTCAGTGCTATCACATACTTTGTAGTAGTTTAGTTTTAGTGAATTGCAAGAGTAATATTTAGAGATATGTCCTACTCTCTTACATCTATTACATTAGTTATCTAAGCAGTTAGCAAAAACATGTTTAATTAAATAGCAATTTCTATACTTTTTGTATTGATTACTTAAGAAAGGTCTGTTTCTAAGTCTAGAAGTTAGGGCTATTTAAAGTTAGTTATTAGTTTTTGAGTCTGTAGCTATTAAAGTATAAGCTTCTTTTTGGAATAGAAATTCTTGTTCAAATTGATCTAATTCATGCTGTTTCTTTATAGTAGGTTAAGTAGGTAAGAGTTGGTGTTATTCATAGATAGTAAGTATATAAATTTTCTGTTTATTCTATTTGAGAATATAGGTACTATTTTTCTAATTATAGATAGCTTCAACTTTCTGAGACTAGTCATTTCTTAGAAGAAGAGAATAAGAAGTTGCATCTATAACTTCTACATTTAAAAAAATAGTTATTCCTTTGATTTCTATAAGAAAGTCTTTAATTATTCCTAAGAATCTAATAGAGGGTCTAGTAGCTAATACAATTAGGCTAGAAGAGCAAGTATCTATTTTGAGTCCTAATTCTTTAACGATTTGATATGAGATTATACTAATTGAGATACTACTATCAATTATAGCCTGATAAGGTTTATTCTTGACCTTAATATTGTATTTTACTAGTATGGTATGAGTTGAGATCTGAATAGTATTGTTAGGAGATAGAGTAGTAAAGTAGGTTTTCATAGTAGTTTGCAATAACTCATTAAAGAAATATGATTCAAATTGTTCAAAATCATAATCATTAACAAAGTCTACTGAATAGGCTTCTCTGTGATAAGGAGTAAAGAATTGGCTTCTAGATTTGCTTCTACTATTATTATCTCTGTTTCTATTTCTGTATCTATCTCTTGAGTGACTTCTTTCTTAACTTCAGTTCCTATCATTATACCTAGAGTTGTTATAGCATCTATTGTTATCATATAAACTATTTCTTTCTTAAAATCGAAAGTGATTATAATAATAATTATTATTCCTTTTATTATCTGACCTATAGTTATTGTTAAAGCAGAAACTATAGTAGCAACTAAGTTAGGAATCAGAATAAAAATCATGTTGAAAATCTTCTTTTTGTTTTGATAATTTTTAATATAGTGTCTTTTACTTCTACAATAATAGTAAGTAGTATCCTGTTAGTTATTATTGTCAAATCTGTTTCTGTTTGAGTTATTTGAGTAGTAGATTAGTTTAGAGAAAGAGTAGTCTGTTTTTCTGCAAGGTTTATATTTAGTTCAGTGATTTGTTTAGTGAGTTGTTCAATAGCTTTATCTGTACTGAAATTTGTATTAGAGGCTATAAGCTTTCTAGTTTCTTAACATCATACTGCAGTTATGACTATGTTAGATTTGCTTGTTCTAACACTTAAATATTTAAAGAATATTCTGGTTGAAGTCCTTGAATGAAAAGCTGAGTTAAGAATATAGCAGAGAAAATATTTCTTAGATCAACTTGTTCTTTTAATTGCTTAAATTTGTTAACATAAGTATCAACTATTTCTGAGCCTTGTTGTATAGCAAAGAGCTGTTTTTGCCAAGTAGCTTTTTGTTAAGAGATGCAGAACCTTTCTCTAAACAAGTAGTAAAAGATAATAATATCTCATCTATTAATTTAGTATCTATATTGTTAATATTTGAAATAGTTAAAGGTATCAGCTAGACTTTAAAACTATTCTTGAGTATTGTCAATAAGATAAGCAAATACAAGTTCAAGTTAGCATGCAGTATTCTATCTGTTAGCCTTAGCTGCTTGTTTAAAACTTTCTAACTAAGTTATAGAATCTTGAATTCTATTACTTCAAAAAGATTCAATTTTAAATAAGGTCTTTTCACTACTAGTACCTAAAGCTCAGGCTAGATTGATTATAGCAGTAGCTGCTTCTTATAATACTTGATTACTCATATTTATATTATCTGGTTTGTTTTTTTGAATAGTATATGTAGATTCAGTGTCTAAGTCTTCTTGATGATTTAGCTCTTGATTATTGTTTTTAACTTCAAAGAAATTTTTGAGATTATATTCTATTTGATTATTCTGATTATTCAGAAAGGGTGTTATCAATTTCTAGATCATCTAGAGTTTGAATTATTCTATCAAAAAGCTTATTAGCTTGATTTGTTGGTTAAATGGGTTGATAAGGAGGTGAAAGATATTGAAAAATATAGTGCAAAAGAGAGGAGTTATCAAGATCTAAGTTTGCTTAAAGATAGTTTTCAGAGATTAGGAAGCTCCTATTTGGTGAAGTAGTAGTAAGGGTAAATTGAGAAATAAGATTAGTAATTGCAGTTCGAGAGTTGAGATAAAGATTGAAATATCATTAGTTAGAAGTATTAGTAGAGAGAATAAAGAGAAACTGAGAAGTAGGTGTATGTATAAGGAGTCTAAGAGGAATATTAGTTAGAAGTAGTATTAGAGTTTGTTGTCTATCTTATAAGGGAAATTGGATTTAGGTAGTATCTTCATTATAAAGAGTTAAAATAGATAAAGAAGTTGTAGCTTAGTCTGGATCTATTGAGTATTAACTAATTATAAGACTATATTCAAAGTAGTTAAGACTACTAGTATATTTGTTAGAGATAGGTGAACTAAGATCTCCTAAAACTTCTACAAGAATTCTATTTAGATAAGAGTTAAAAATAGTAGAACTAGCTTAGAATTCAATATAGGAGTCAAAGACTGTAGCTTCAAAACCAAAAGAAAGATAGAATTATAAGATATATCAAGTATATCAATATAGAAAGGTTTCAACAATGTTTTTAGAGTTTTTTATAGAAGTATTATATCAACAATTAAATATTATATCACGTGCTACTGCTCTAGCTTTAGGATAGGTAAAGCTACTAATTAATTCTATGTGTACAGTTATTGTTTGTTAAGAATAGGATTTGACATAGTATTCTCATCTGTACTAATACCAAAAGTTACAGTATGAACTATAATAATTAATTCCTAGATAGCATAGCTAACAGAATAAATTTGAGTCTAAGATTTAAAGTACTGTATATGCTTAACTTATATTTTGATATTGTAAATCGTATGCTTGTAGTTTTAAAAATACAAGGTATTATGTGTATGTAAGTTATAAAAAGTAAAAAAATGGTTCAAAAATAAATGTTAAAAACTATTTATCAAATTGTGCTAATTTACGCATTATAGATATTTATATTATAATATGATCTTTAGTGTATGTTCTATTTGATAACAAAAAGCTTATGTGAAGGTCAGTATAGTATAGGTGATCTGATCAGTCTGGTACAGACCCGATTTTAAAAACCATACTATACTGATCCAGTTTTATAATTTAGGGTTAGGCTAAGGTTAGTCAAGGAATTAGGGTTAGGGTTAGGAATTATAACAGATTATTATGGTTTTAGTTTTTAAAATGGGGTTGTACCAAACTGGTCAGGTCACCTATACCATACTGCTATTCTGTAATCCTATTTTATTCTACAAAAAATTTTGAGTTATCTGTTGAATGATTATACCCACAAAGTAACTACCCAGTATATCGTAAACAGAGAAATTCCTGTGTTTGGTGCCAGTTTAAAAATAAGGAAACGCACTGAAAAATTACCACTAAGTCAGGTGTGGTATACAACATGTAATGTATCTTTATGTCTCAATAAGCAACGTCCAGATTGTTTTATTGTGTATCTTGAATGTAATAATAAAATAAATACTGTTTTTATGTTGTGAAATAAAGTTTTCTAATATTTTGTCATGGTTGTAATATAAGTAAATAACAGAAAATTTTAAGGCAAGTTGCGTCTAATTGACAAACAGTTTAAGGGATATTAACTCGCGAGAAAAACAAAAAATATATATATATAAAAAATTCTAAACAGGTAGCACCAAACTAAACTTAGTTAGCTGATAGGCCACCATTCAACTAGCCAGTTGAATGGCCTGTCTAAACAAAGTTCCCGGCCTAATTTGATTATCAAAAATCAAACCCCCGGCGGCATAGCTAGCTTGAAAGTTCCCAGCCTAATTTGATTATTAAAAATCAAATCCCCGGCTAACTTGAAAAAAAAAGAAAATTTAAACAAAAAAAAAATATAGAAAAATTCTAAACAGTTAGCACCAAACTAAACTTAGTTTAGCTAATAGGCCACTATCCAACCAGCCCAGTTGAATGACTTGTCTAAACAAAGTTCCCGGCCTAATTTGATTATCAAAAATCAAATCCCCGGTGGCATAGCTAACTTAATGTCATTTGAAAAAAGATTCGCTATTTACAAGTTCACAACTAATCACTTATTATTTCTTGCGGTATCTTCTGCTGAAATATATATATATCTGTTAATATAAAAATTCGTAATTATACTTTTAAATAATTAACTTACTTACCACGGCATTGTGATTCAAAATGTGTATTCCAACGATTACAGTTTTCGCAAAATTCAACCAGAGTAGTATAATGATATTCCATGTTTTAAACCAAAAAATCGACGCCGTAGTTGTAATAAGTTGCGAGGAAAAACATCTCATGCATTTAATTCGGTGGCGGTGGTGATGGACTCTTTGGTATCGAATTTATTATTTGATGCAACCAGAATAGTAATTTTGTAGAGCAAGAGATATACTTTTTTTTTCTTAAAATATCGTAAATACAATCATCACTGTTATTTCAACCTCTTGATACCGATTCTTACCAACGTTGTAGGTTGCGATGCTAAAAATTTGAAATAAATAATTTTTCTAAAAAATATAACAAGAAACATAAATAAAAAATATATATATATACACTCTTCCGCGGCGTTATCTCACTTCTATTTTGATTGGCGGAAATACTGTCTTCGGGCTAATATTACTACAGAGACGCAGAATTAAAGGTAGTTCATGTGATGCAAGAACCTAAAGAAAGAAATTTAGATCATGAGAATAAATTTAAAGCTAACCGCTACAAATGCATCCTCATAATTATGAGCTTCCAATGCCCTATCAATAGCAGAATTATTCGAATCTTCAA